TTATTTTTCAAATATGTTCAGAATATTAAAGATTATTTTTTTTTTATTTTATTATAAATAAAGTAAATAAGAAATTATAATTATGAATAAATTTAAAGAAATAAATAAGTTTTTGAAAATATTTGAAAGAATATAAATAAAGTAAACATATGTATACTTATTACTGGTCAAAATTTGATAAATAATATACATATCAGATATCTGACATGTATATTATTTATCAATTTTTGACCAGTGTATTTTTAAATAAGTTCTGAATTAATTTTTTTTAAGTTGTAACTTTTGAGAACTAAGAAATTATTATTAAAGGTTATTTTTTTTCTTTTTTAAATAAAGTATATTTTAAATATACACAAACTTTGAAAATGTTTGAAGAAAAATATTTAAAGAAAATTGTTAACCATGAGTAAAGTGGATAAAGCATAAAAAATGCCTCAAATAAATAAACAAAATAAATAAACAAAATTAGTTCTGTATTACATGGCAATTTATTAGTTGTCTATTAATAAATAAACATTTACTATTACTATTACAATAAAATTAGCTATCAAAAATATTATAATTTTCACTGATCAAGTTTCAAACAAATTAAATTAAAATATCATATTTATAAACATCTATGTATTGTATAGAAGTATTAGAAAATAATGGTTATACATCAGGAAATTTTTAATAGCAAATATATCCAGATATATTTGCCTTAAATTAATTCAAAAATATTTGACCACCCACACATTTATCTGTATTAAATATCTGGATATATTCACAAATATATCTGCATATATCCACATATGAGTTTATCTGGATATATTCGCATATATCAGAATTTATAAATTACAAAATGGAAATAATTCATAATTGTTACTACACAATAACTTTTTATTTTAATAAGTAAATGTTGAACATTGCAATAAGTGAGTTGAAAGGTAAGAAGGATGTAAAAATTTCAGACCTATATCATCAAAATTGAGCAAATTATGAACAGTTAAATTTCGAATGGAAATAATTCATCATGTTCAAAATTAACCATTTATAATTTGCTCAATTTTAATGATATAGGTCTGAAATCTTTACAGAAGATGTATATCCTTCTTTTCTTTCAACTTACTTACTGCAATGTTTGACATTTACTTATTAAAATAAAAAGTTATTATGCTGTAACGATTATGAATTATTTCCATTTGTAATTTATATATTCAAATATATCTGACTAGATGTCAACTACCAGAGTTAAGGTTAGGGTTGGCTGAAGTTAGAAGATCTTCATCGAATCTACATAAACTAGTTCATGAATTTATCCAGATACAGTGCATTACATCTTAACCCAACAAATGTTTCAATTTTTGGTTGCAGATTTTTACTATAATAAAATTTGTATGAAGGACAAAAAAATTTTTTATTTAATACTGTAACAGATAATAAATAATTAATTTTAAATTTATTTAATTCCTTCTCTAATTTTTCAACTTCTAAAATGACATCATCAGGAATTCTACGATGCGATTTATATTTTTTTACTGCATAATTAGCTAATCGTCCATTTAAACCTTGTCTATATGCATTCATAAATCGTAATGATTTTTGTGCAAATTTTCTAATACTAAATAAATCACATTATTGAAACCACGTGGAACTGTTTCTCTTAATGCTGATAAAGAGTAATCACAATTTGATCGTGTATATTGTTTGGCAGCTCCCCAATAAATTTCTATGTAGTTTAGCTCACAATAAAATTTTGGAAACAATAAAAATAATGATTAGCATTTTCAACAACTTCTTGATCCATGATTTTTTTTCCATAAAATCTAATTGTAAAGAAAGAATTTTATGCACAACAATCAATATTATTTTCTAAACATTGTTTACATTCCAGTTTAAGATTATTTCGCCATAATCCTCGTTCTTCAAGAATTGTACAAATTCCTTTCTGAATTTGAGGTTGATTTGAAAATTGCATTGGTTGTATTGTTTTTTCTTAATCTTTAAAAAACCATCCATTTCTCATTAAAGGTACATTTTTTCCACCATCTTTAAGATTTAAAGATACTGCATTAAGAGCATCTGGTGTACAAGATTGATGATTTTGTGAAGAATCGAAACAAAAAAGTCCAATTGATGTAGAATGCAATTCATTAAAGATGGGAATTACCTAAAATTATTTAAATTTGTTAAAAAATAATATAAAATAATAAAATATAGTAAATAAAAAATATACCTTTTCTTGTAATTGTTTAATAAGATCTGCATTTGTCCAATAACCATCTCGATTTTTACCTGGTTCAATAAGATTTCTTGCACATTGATTATTGTATTTAAGTGTTCCATGACATGGACAAAGAAAATCTGAAACCATAATAGAAGAACCTAAACCTTTCTTACGCAAAACTTTTTCATCAGGCAGTGTCCATACATTTCTTTTACCATCATTAGCATAAAATGTTGATTCATCATAAACAACCCAAATTATTTCCTTTTCATTTTCATTTAAATATTGGATCTATTTTAATTTCAAGATTATCACCTTTATATTGTGTCATTTGTACTTCATATTGTTTCATTACATTGAGAAATTTTTTTCTATATTTCACTACATCATCACGTTCATGACCATCTATAAAACAGCCATTCAAGGCACTATGATAATAAAATCCTAAACTATTCATCCATGAAATTGCTGTTTTAATACAATACATATCTTGACTTTCTGAAACTTCAATACTCCAAAATAAAGGAATAATAGAATCTCTAATAAATTTTAAAAAAAGTTTTGGTGTTCGATCATCAATTTTTACTGAATTTATATACTTTCTACACTTGTCACAGACATCTTCATCATTCATTAAAGACCATATTTTCTGATGCTTTCCTTGAGTATAAATTGGTAATTTATTGTTTATAATATAAAATTTAGTCCAATTTCGAATTGAACATGCTCTACTTGGACCGGCAGCAAAAATTGTTTGTGCAACTTGAATAGAAGCTTTTACTTCTGTTCACCAATAATTAAAGCATAAATAAAGGCCTTTATTGCTAAAAGTCGTAAAGTATCATATGAAAAATTATTTTGGTTGACCATTTTTCTTTGATTTCGAGTAATTTCACAAAGTTGTACAAAGTTGTGAAATATTATTTAATGATGATCTAAGTTTTTCAGCCGCCCAAATATTTTCTTGGTTCGATAAAATTTATAGTATTTTATCAGTTGTAAAAAAATTGATTATTGTATCAAAGCTCTTGGCATGTTCAATTAATTCTACAGATTTTTTATCATTATGCCATTTTGTTGTACGAGATAAACCAGAATAATGACCACAGAGTCTAGCATCTGCATTTTTTGTCCATGAAAAATTATATGTGACATTTTAAGCATTATTTTTGTAGTCTCTTCTAATTCGGGTAAAACTAAAGGTTCAAAAATTATATCTTCATCACTTTCATTGCTCGATGACTCATCACTTTGGACTTTCTTTTGAAATTTTCCATTTGAACCAAGTTTTTCATAAGCCCGTTTTTGTCGTTTCGATAAAGGTGGCATAAAAAAAAATTTAGTTGAATACATCTCTTTTAATAATCTGCACCATTACGTAATATTTTTGATAATCTGATCCATAAAATTACAGAGCGAGCTTGCAATCCCTATTATCAAACTAAAAATTAAGATTGAATGTTTAATTAGTTTCTACACTTCCACTTTTTTTTACACAAATTTTCTGAAGAATCAAACTCAAAGTTTTATCAAAGTGATAGAAACTTTACATAGTAAGTTCGAAAATGTGAAGACAACTTAAAAATATTAAAAAATTTTATCACACGTACATGGAAACATTGCGAAACATCTTTTTTTGTGTTGAATTTTTTTTAACGTTTATTTATTAATTTTTATTTTAACTTTTATTTCTTAACTTTTATTTTTCACAGTAACACTTGAAATTGGTGATAGTAATGATGACAATCGTCTTCATTGTAATCGTTGTCATCATAATTGTCATCGTCATGGTAGAAATGGTAATGATGACACCTTGAGGTGAGCAAGTTCCTACTGTTGCTTTTTTTTGCAATATTATTACAAAGGTCAATGATAATAACAACTTCTAGATTTATATATAGGTGATCAAAATATTAATTTTTAATGAACGGATAGAAAATGAACGGATAAACAAATGAATGGTAAACAAATAATATAAATAAATATAAAAATTAAGAGATGATGGAACGATTTTTACCATGGAATCTTGTTTCAATTTTATATTTTTTATTATATGACCATTAGTAAAGTATTATATTTTGAAAAGCTGGTAACTTTTTTAAAAAAGGACCAATCAAAATTCTGGCACATAAGATCGAAAGATCCTAACCTAAACTATCAATTTTATGTGGTATTTTTTTTTGTAAATATGATTTTCCAAAAATAGATACCTTTCAAAGTTAACCTAAAATTTTGTCAGGTTAAGACATAACGCACTATATATTCGTATAAATCAGGATTTATAAATTACAAAACGGAATAATTCATCATCGTCACAATGTAATTACTTTTTATTTTAATAAGTAAATATCAAACACTAACAATATGCGAGTTGAAAGATAAGAATAATGTACATTCTTCATAAAAATTTCAGACCTATATCATCAAAATTGAGCAAATTATGAGCGATTAAATTTCAAACGGAAATAATTTATCGTGTTCGAAATCAACCGCTCATAATTTGCTTAATTGTGATGATATAGGTCTGAATTTTTATGGAAGATGCATATTATTCTTATCATTCAACTCACTTATTGCAGTATTTGACATTTACTTATTAAAATAAAAAGTTATTACGTTGTAACAATGATGAATTCGTTCCGTTTTGTAATTTATAAATTCAAATATATCTGACTCAGATGTCAACTACCAGAGTTAAGGTTAAGGTTGGCTGAAGTTAGGAGATCTATATAGGATCTAAATAGGCTAGTTTATGAATTTATCCAGATATATTCGCATAAATCAGGATTTATAAATTACAAAACGGAAATAATTCATCATAGTTACAATGTAATAACTCTTTATTTTAATAAGTAAATGTCAAACACTGCAATAAGTGAGTTGAAAGATAAGAATATTGTACATTTTCCATAAAAATTTCAGACCTACATCATCAAAATTAAGCAAATTATGAGCGGTTGATTTCGAACACGATAAATTATTTCCGTTTGAAATTTAATCGTTCCTAATTTGCTCAATTTGGATGATATAGGTCTGAATTTTTATGGAAGATAACACCATTCTTATCTTTCAACTCACTTATAGCAGTATTTGGCATTTACTTATTAAAATAAAAAGTTATTACGTTGTGACGATGATGAATTATTTCCGTTTTTAATTTATAAATCATGATATATATGAATAAATCCGACCACCCGCGCATTAATCCACACATATCCGCACATATCGGCATATATCCGCATATTATAAATTTATCTGGATATATTCAAAAATTTCCTGATGTAATATTGAAATCATAAAAAAAATAAATATTCCCAAATATACAATCTGAAATTGATTCATTGGGATGGCAAATTGCTACCTTACAAATCGAACTTGCATTAAAAGAACAGATTCAAAAAATGCAATCTGAAATTGATTCATTAAAAGGACAAATTAATGAGATAACAAGTGTTAACAGTGCACGTACAAATACTAACAATAATTATATAATTGATAATACAAATTGGCAGTTATCTACAATTTATCATGAATATATTCAATTGTAGTCAATTATATTTCATCATGGCCTGAATATAAAATTAATAAAGTTAATTCTATAGGTTAATATCAAGACTATTTCATATGGTGTGAAACTAATAATAAAAAAGCATTGAGTATTAACATTCTCAGTAAAAAGTTTGCAGTAATTGATATTGAATGTAAATGGACAGGTAATAGAAAAAGAGAATAGCAATATATATTAGATTGAACTAAAATTATGAAAAAGATACATGAATTATTTGATAATACATAATGACAACATATCCAATAGTATATACTCTGGCTACTTGCTTTCACAAATGATACGTAAAATGCAATCAAATTGTCAAATATATTTTTTGGTCCACGTGAACTAATGACAAAATTGATCGCGTACGCAGTTCACAGTATACAAAATATTATCAAATTTAGATTTCTAAAGGAATTAGAACTCAATATAGAAAGACACATACTATTGTGTCTTAACCTAGTGTACCATTGCCTTCTAAAGAAAATCAATTGAAAAATAGAAATATACGTCACTCAAGTGTAGTCAACTTTATGAAATCAGCCACATAACAATGCGGTCAGATTTATGAAATGGACCACTTTCGAGTGTAACTAGAATTATGATATAGGCCACATACCTGATCTGTTATAACTTAGACTAACTGGGAATAATAAAATTATATTATTCCCAATGCAAAGTCTTTTACAACTGTAATAAATGCTTCACAAGTAATATAAAAATCACCTTCTTTGAAAATTATATTATTTTTTATAGAAGATTGTAAGTGACCAGAAATGCAAGAAGTGCAAGAACTACAATCAGAATATTTTGAATCAGAAATTTTTTCATAATAGATTTTATTCAAAGAAAATGCAATTGCAGAAATTTCTATTATGTGATAATAAAGGGGACATAGGATAAAGTCTATACCCTTGGAACAGGTTATGATTTCCCTAAATAAAATTTTATTTTATGTGACTTGAAATTTGCAGATCGTATGAATCACATGACATTTTCCATAATATAATTTTGATATTACCTTATGACCTGGCATTTCAGGAGTTATCCAGTTAAGATTTAATATAAAAAAATTATTTCTGGACCTAATTTTTCTTCAATTATTTTAGTGGGCAAATTTTGTTATGGTTTAAGGGATAAGTGAGAAAAAAAATGCCTGATATATCCAGAATGCTTTATTCAAGTGCAATCCGTACCACTTATTCAAGAATTAATTTGATAATTTTTCGATAAAGTCAGTCTCTCTATAATCACACTTTTTATAATCACAATCTGTATATAATCACACTTTTTGTGAGAACCAATTTGTAGTAAAGCTATGTAAAAAAGTCGCTATATAATCACAATCTTTCTATAATCATCAAATTTACTGGTTCCGAATGTGTGATTATAGAGATATCCGACTGTATTCTATAATTTTTCATGACTATTTTATGGGTTACGTAACTTAATCACAAAAAACAAAAAAAAAAACCTTAAAAGAGAAAAGTTTTGGAGTATTACCATATATATTTCCTGAAGTTTTAGGCAATGAAGAACTGCTGATTTTTTTTTTACAATCTTTGTTGAATAATTACCATTTCCAGAATGATAGTTGAAGTTTCATAATTCTGTAGGAACTTTTGTTTAACTTTAACCAAAATTTTAGACCTACACAAATGATCATGTAATGTTGTGAAAAAACCAAGAATAGAGTGACATATATTATAAATTTATTTTTATAATTATTAAATAATGGAAATGAGCTAATATGAATGTGAAAGACTTTCTTCATAGTAGACATCTAATTTACATATAAATTGTATGACAAAAGTAATTATTCTATAAAACTATCATTAATTAACGGAATTTTAAAATTAACCATATTAAATAGGCTCGATAAGACACATTAATTAAAAATTGAATTTTATGTAAGAATATGAGCAGGAGGTATTTATTTATTTACTTTTCTTCTTTTTTTTCGAATTTATTCTCATTTAATGTAATTAAATTAATTCGTGATCTGTGTAACATCTGGTCAATTTTTAATAATAGAAAATGGGCAAATTTACTATGTTTTTTATCATTCTGGAACCCAACTTCCTTCAAACTAAAGTATACTTCTTTTTAATTTTAATTATTAGGATAATGTTGATTTTAATTTTAATTAATCAATTCAAAGATGATTGTTTTTAATTTTATAAATAAATTTAAGCTATCAAAGCATTTTTTGCCGCTTATAGTATGTCAGGTATATGTTTTAATTTTTTTATTTTTTTAAAAAAAAAATTTGATATTAAAATTGTAATGTATTATTAATCTTCTTTTACGAAAAGTTCTATATTCAGAATTGAATAACCTTGTGTGACGAATTAACCTATTAAAGTACATTGTTATTGTACATTACTCTGAAAATCTTATTTTATTCTTTCTTTAAATTTATAGGTTATTTCTAAGTAAATAATTGTAATGTTTTTATTTTCAAAAAAAAAATTATTCTTTATATTACTTAAATTATAAATATTCACTAGCCTGTATGATGTCATTTTTAATTAATGCTAATTCTTAAATTCCGTTGATTATTATAATTTCTTCTAATAATTCATTGGCAGATGCATTCCCATTTTCCTTTGCTTTATTCAACCAGTATATAGCTTTTATAATATCTTTCTTAGTCCCATATCCTTCATAAAAGCATTTCCCATGCCTGTATTGGCTATTGGTATAATTATTTTCTGCTGCTTTTTTATACCATTCAAATGCTTTCACTTGATTCATATTAGTTCCGCAACCAATTCTATAACAATTTCCTAACATATATTGTGACTTATTATGTTCCTTTTCGGCTGCCTTCAAATACCATTTAAATGCTTCTTTTTCATCTTTACTCACACCTGTACCATATTCATAACTATCTCCGATATTAAACATTGCTTCAATACTTCCAGCAAGAGCTGATTTTGTATCCCATTGAAATGATTTAGCTTGATCTTTGTTTATTCCTGTTCCTCTATAATAACACTCACTAATATTCAATTGTGCTATAATATTTCCTTTTTGTGCAGATTTCAAATATAATTCAAATGCTTTTTCTTCATTTTTTTCAACACCAAGCCCGCAATCATAACAATAAGCTATGGTATTCAAAGCGATATGAGAATCTTTATCAGCAAGTTTATTAATCTGAAAAGCTTTTTTTGTATCCTTTTCAACACCTAGACCATCTAAATACATATCTGCAAGAGAGATGGTACCAATTTCTTTGTTGATATTGTATAGTCTCTTAAAGTGAAAAGAATCAGAAGAGGAGGCATCAATTGTTTCATTGACAGCCAAGTTAAAAAATTTAAACGCCATTTGATAATCAACAACAGTCCCAATTCCATACTGGAAAAAAACTCCTATTAAGCTAGTAAATGAATAATAAGATGGATGTCGAATCATTTCATGTAGAATTTTAATTGGATTCCTTTTGCATTCTCTAATATAATTTTTGATCATAATTAGTAGAATATCCTGTAATTGTTTTTTGCGTACATCAATGAAAATTTCAAACAGATCATTAATAAAATCATTAAATCCTTCATCCCAAGGATCAGGTTTAATTTCAGATTCTTCATTTTGTCTTAATAAAGAAGAATTTTATATTTAATAAATGTTCTGAAGATTTAAATATATATTAAAAAAAAATTAAAAAATGCAACTTACATATAAACATCTGTGCTATTGTGAAGTCGTGATTGAGGGGTTTTAAATTCAGCACTTGCATCAGAAATAATGATTTCGATAAGATTTTTACCAACTTGATGAATATCTAGTCGTGAGTTTCCATTGTGATTCCAGCAATCTGTCGAAAATATAACATTAAAAATTTATTATGTACAATATAATTGATTTCAATAGATTATTTAAATTTATACCAGTATATATTTCCTTGTATCTATGAGATGTTCGAGATATAGTCATTTCCCTTTTTCCTTTTGCAATATTGTTTAATAAATCATCGTTTGTCAAGGGTTCCATTTCAAAAAGAGAATTACCACTAGAAATTTTCCAAGGAATAATTCCGAGACCCAAAATATCAGAATTCTTATTTTCATCAATCACATTGAAGAGTCCCAAATATTGAGGATTCATGTATTGCATCGAACCAAGATTATTCGTAAAGAAACTTAAAAAATTTAAAATAATGTTTGTTGATCCAAAAACATCAAATTTAATGATCCCATTATGAACGAGAATATTTTCAGAAAGAATATTTTCAGAATTCTGATTATAAAAAAAATATAAAAATTAAAACAATTCATTTATGAAATTTATTTTTAAATAAGAATATTTTTAATATTTTTGTTTCAAAAAAAAAAAAAATAATAATAATTACGAATTTCCCATGAATGGAAATTTGTTTTGCGAGATTTAATTTTACATTCCAATCCATTTTTTGGAAATTGGTTTCCAAATATTGACGAAGAGAACCTTCATTAACATATTCGAGGATGATCATATAATTGTTAGTATTCTCTATAAAAATAAATAATTTTAAATAAATAAAATTTATAAGTGGGCTATCAATAATATAATATATCTAATATTAAGCATAATATTTAAATATTTTTACCTTGCTTAGTGATGCCATAGAATTTAAGAATGTTATCATGAATTTCCAATTTTTGATAGTTTTTAATCTTTTTTTTTTTTTAATTTAAAATGTGAAGTTAGAAAATATTGACAACAAATTCAAAGTTAAAAATAAATAATTAAAAATTCAATTCACTTCATTTATTAACTTGTCCAATGTAAACTTGTTCTTAGTTAAATAAACATTTTTAAGAGTAACTTTTTTTTGAGAAATTTTAAAAGTGGCTTTGAAAATATTAGGGGTAATCAATTTTACATTTTGAAATTCGGAGTATTTAAAAAATGGGATATTTTCTTTTTGAATTGCATCTTCAAAAATTAAACTATCCATCCAGGTTTCCCATTCTTTTTCGTTCGTCTTTCTTTGGGACATGATGATTGACAATTCAAAATTAAATGAATCGGATTAATGAAAATATGCTCCGATTAAATATCTGCATATTGTGACACACATTACGACGAGACTCCTTCTCTGGAAAAGGTAAAGTTTCCTTCTAATCTAAAAAAGTCAACTTTTCACTTTTTTAGATTTAAATGTTGCTCTTCTCCTGAAAAGGTAAAATTTGTTAAAAATTAACTTTTATATATTTAAATTATATAGATGGAGATTGTAAATGATTGTTAATTCAAAAATTTATTTAAAATTATCACGTAAGTAAATGTATTTAAAATAATAGTTAAAATCAAATTTACCAATGCAATAAAATGAAGAAGTTTATGTTAACTATTTATTTAAAAATTTAAATAAATCTAAAACAAAAGTATTCAATTATGTAATAATGGTTAATATCTTGTATAAAATTCTTCTATATGAAAGAAAATTAATATGTACTGAAGATTTCTTTACACATAATCTTTCAAAAGAAAGATATTTAAAGAATAGAATTTAAATTAAATTTCATAAGACAAAGCGCCCCTAATCAAAACCACTTGTTTGAACAATTAAATTATATTTTTAAATACCCCAAATAATATTTTCGATTTGGTGATTTCGTTATTATTGTTATTGTTGTTACCTGAACCAATAATTTGTTGAAAACATATGTAAATAAGATAAACAAATATGATCGAAAGTAGCTTGAGGTGCTGGTCATTTTGAGCAAGTAAAGTTTTAGCTTGTGTACCCGTAAGTTCGAATACATAATACTTTCTTCCTCAAATTATTATTTGTACACCTTTTTTGACCAAAAGGTAATTCCAAAAGTATAGGCATAGTAACTTTACAACAGATTGATTGAAGATTATTTAAAATTATAAAAAGAATTTAGAGAAAAAAAGTATCGCTTATTTATCCTTCATCACAGGTAAAGAATTTGTATTTCCAAAATAACTGGTACATATAATAATCATTCTATAAATTAAAAATCTAATTTAATTTGTCAACAGATAGTACAATAAAAAATATGCAATTAGAAGATATTTTATAAAAAAATTTGTTGATCCGACGCTTCCATCCAATATGTGCGATGATATTTTATAATTGAGAATATATATATACAGGAAGCTCCAATATTTGCAATATTCTTATAGTCTCTGGTTTTCACCTTTAATCAGTGAATCATTTAATTTATTTAATCTTGCGATGTGATAATATATGTTTCCTTAATAAATGAGCTCCCATACAAGCTATAATTTAGAAAATTACTCCATGTTAAAAATATAATAACATTGATGATTAAGTTTTTCCATTTTTTTTTAAAGCTTTCTAACATATAAAAATAATATAAAATAAAATGTAATATTATCCTCTTTATACTAAACGTTTTCATTAAAATTATTAGAGTAGATCATTTTTCTGTTTGACCTTAAATTTTCTATTCTCATACCCATAAATAGGTTTTAACTATTTAGAGCAATATCATAAGAATTAAACTTTAAAGTAATTGATTCTTTGGGCTTATTAAATTAGGATCTATTAATTAAAAAAATTAAAAAATTTAAAATTTGTAATTAATCATTTTTAAATAAAATTATTGATGAATATACTTGAAGATTTTGCAGATTTTATTTCTTCCAATAAATCATTCAATCCATGAAGAGTATGAATATAGCGGCTAATATAACATGATTGTGGATGTAACTTATTTGAATGTGAAAGTAATTCGAATAATTCTTGCTTTTGAGATTTTGATGTATTTTTTTGACTTTCATCAGCAATTTTAAGTTGCCGCATAATATTACTATCCGCTACATTATCACGAAGTTTATCTTTCATTTCCCAAAATAAATTAACTAATTCATCGGCGGTTGGACGTTCAGAAGAATCATCACTCCAACATCGATACATCAAGTCTAAATACCATTCTGAAATCCAATTTAACATAAAATCCGGGACCTTTGGTCTTACACCATTACATATATCTGTCATTAAATAAGTATCATGTGCTTGTTCAGCAAATGTTCGCTGTGCAGTAAACATTTCATACATAATTCTACCAAAATTATAAATATCACCCTTCCTTGTAAATTCATTTCCTCTTAATACCTCAGGTGGAATATATGGAATTGCGCCATTAAATTGTCATCGGAGTTTAAAATTAAATCAATTTCTATATATGTGCCAATATCTATTCTTGATAAAATGAATGAAGGTCCCAAAATATTTTCAATCAAAGCATTTCCACTATGAAAGTCACAATGAATTACGTTTTTTTCATGTAAGCCTTCAAGGCCCGATACTATTGACAATAATATGTCTAATTTTGTTACCCACTTTAAATGCCAAAAAGTTTTGGTTAAAAAAAAATTATGTAAATCATAGCTATTTGAATCCATAATAAGAATGTAGTTTTGTATAGAAGGATTTTTTGAAATTCAATAATAAAAAGCAATACATTTCGAATTATATACAGTCTTTACCTTTAATATGAAAATATCAAATGTCAAATTAATAAATTACAAAATATTAATAACTTATATTCTAAATATAAATGGACGTACTGTGTACATACCACCGCTTTAAGAAATCCAAATGTATCAATCCTAGAATCTTTTATTTCTCTCAAAGCAACGTTGCCTATTAATAATAAAATAGATTCCCAATCCTGCTCGAGAAAATTCATCTATATTTTGCTCTATTTTTTACTTTTGCAGAATATAAAGATCCACGGCGAACATCTGCTATGTGTTTGATATTTAGAAAATTATCATAAGGTATCCATTGGAAATTTTGATGATTTGAGAATCTTGGATAATCTTATCAATGTTAACATTTCCACTAGACCAAGTTTTAAATTCTTGGATAAAATGTTCGCGAGAACACAAATCACATATTCCATCTTTAAAATTAATTTTATTTCGTTGACTAGAACATAAATCTTTAGAAGAATGGCCTGCCGGGCAATACTCTATTTTTTCTATTTCTTGAGACATGGGAAATAAAAGGAAAATTTTGTATATTATTTATTTTCTAACAAGATTTCAGGATCAGGAGCATTTTATTAGCTTGAACTTTTAGTTTATACAATTTAGAAATACTGAAAATTTAATAATCTTATTTTAGTAGTACATTTTGGGTTCGAATTTCAGAATCACGAGATAATAGCTGATAGATATTTTTTTAATGAAATTAGTTTTTTGCAACAAAATATCACAATTACATTAATAAATACATCATATCTAAATAATGATATTACTCAATTCAATTATTATTACAAATTTATATGTAATCACAATGTAATCTAATTTGGAAATAGAAAATTTTATAATTAGCAAGTAATATTTTTTTAACACTTTTTTAGTTAGAAATTTTACATAAGGGAAATTAATTAAAAATAAAAATTAATTATTAACTGTAGACCAAATGAAAACCAGAACCAATTTGAAAATATTTGGTTGGTAAAAAAAAATAAATTTTTAATGTCAAGTCGCTGCATCAAGTTTAAAAGTTGAGATGTACTTCGCAATTTGTTCCTTTGACAATCCCATTTATTGTGTAACTTTAGAAAATGTACAGTACTGAGGTGGCACGAAAGCGTCCTAAACACGGTGTCACTATTTGGATGAAATTATCCTTGTGCGTCGCACATCATCCTATGAAAGATAATATCTTCGTGTTTATGGATGAAAGTAAATAATGGGAAGATATAAAAATAGCTGCGAAAAGGAAGAAGAAAGAGAGATTCCTTATCATATTTTCTTTATTTTTTTTTAAATAATTTACATTAGTAATAATAAATAGTTCGAAATAAAAATTTAATAATAATAAAATTTCCAGGACGTCTCTAATACGTTTCGATATAAGAACAATAATAAAAATCCCAGGACATCTCTGACATTTTCTTAGTAGTAACGAAATTATTTTCTTTTATTTGTTTATTAATAAAATTTTGGCACCAACAAAATATTTCTTTGTTCTTTCGTTTCTGTAATAATTTCGATAATTTTAGTGTAGTAGGAAAACATAATGGTAAGATACGCCAAAGCAGTAATATATCGCTATTGTCATACTTCTACACTAAGCTTTAATAAAATTTTAATAAACTATTTTTATATTTCTTGGCAAAGTTACATCATAAAGTCTGTGCGAGTAGTTGTTAAGGATACTTTTACTCCACTTGCTCATCGTTCCTTCAGATCATACACGTAATTACATAATTCGCAACTGTCAGTAAGTAGGTTTAGATCGACTGATTGCCTGTTCTTACTACGTCGCGAGGACAAAAGTATAGCAAGTAAAATATTGCGTCGCGAAATAAAGTTCGAGACTGGTTGGCGTAACTTTCCACCTCGTTCTGCACAGACCGTGACAGTACATACACGTAGCTCTACTTAGGTAAAAAAATTTTGTTTATATTACACATTTTTTTTTGTACATAAAAGCGTTTGTTTACATTTTGAAATTTAAATTATTGTTATTATATAATCCCAAAAAAAAAAATAGGTCGACAAAATAAAAATTCGATAAAATAGTAAGTTACATTGTGTGCTCAATTGGGGAAAAAAAATCCGGTGTCAAAAATTTTTACTAGAGGAAGGCCCCCCATTATTCGACTCAATATCATTTTAATCATTGTTATTTTTTATTTCTAAGCATTAAATTCATTAATTTATTCAATTGTCACTTTGTGAAAATCAAATATTCTGATAGATTATTTTAATTTAAATTTATGTTTTCGAAAATTCCAAAAAATCAACCGAAATCTGAATTGTCCTTATTATTTTTGTTATTGTATCCTGCAGAACAAATTTTATTAAAAACCAAATTATAATCTTTTGGTGCTCTACAATTTGAAAAAATGAAAAATATGTATTCTCTGGCATTTATTGAAGGATTAAAAAAAAAATTTCTTATCATTCGTTAGATGTTGTTTAACCAAATTTAACCGACAGGCGTAAATCTTGGGAAAATTGGCTATCAGTTTGACGTAATCTTTTTTTTTAAATTGTTTATAATTGTTTATATTCTTTAATTAATTTCTTTTAGGTTTATAAATAGCTTATTGATAATAATAAAATAAAAAGATACCTCAAAAGATAATAATTAAGGAAACAGCTTATTTGAATGAGAATTTTTAAATCTTATCTTAGTGATAAAGTTGTCAAAAGATTATATAAACTTAGCTTTGATTCCTCACTTAACAATTATAAACAAACAAAATTAATCCAAGATGTATTCAAAATTCATCGTCTTTTTGCGTATTTTATTCACTATTGTCCCCTTCGTTGAAGGAGAGGCAGAGGAAAACCCCAATCCTTACTACTACAAGCGTCCAATTCCCACGCAATGAATGGCAAATTTATTTATTATAAAAATTGTAAATTATTTAATTGTTTTACTTTTATTAATGTTTATTATGTATTATTAATTTTTATCGCTTATTTATTAAAGTGAATCATCATCATTATTATCATCATATATTATTATTATTAGCATACACGCATTATATACTGTACATAAATAAATATTATGTATTCTCATCATCCTATAAAAGAATAAAATAAATTTCTCTGAAGCAATTAGTGATTTGATTTTTCAGACATTTGATATTCCAACAAGATTTGTAACAACTACTTTGTTACCACTAATATAGTCGTATTTCTGGATTATAATGTAATCTCTTAGACTAAATTTAAAAAGGTTCAAATAAATTTTACGAGACATTTATGATATTTAAATGATGCAGAATTACTATCTATTCAATAGAATTTTTGACAAATCCAACGTATCCAATGAAAATTGCGTTTTAATCTTTTGAGGCAAAAAAAAAAAAATAAAAAATAATTTCGGGCGTTTAGTGAGAATTAAAAAAAAAATTCTTATCATTACTGCAAATATTTTTTCGTTAGAACTATTAGTTTTATAAAAAAGATAAACAAATAATGAATAATAATTGTTGCATAAAAATGTTTTATAAAATTTTAGGAAGCTTACTATGTATTATTATAATGATGATGATGATAATAATAATAACAAATAAAAGCTGCCTCATTGAAATATTTTTTTTATTTGAGTCGAAGATGATTATTAATTCACGCTAAGCAGAGAGATTATATAAAACAAAACCTTAAAGAGATGAATTAAATAATAAAAAAATTTTTGAGGAAGGGTCCATAACCATAATGTCAAGTCGACTTTGCGGTATGACCTTTGACCTTTTGGATTTTTGATAAAATAAATAGCTCATCGGCATAAATAAAATAAATTTTTATTTCTTGCGATGTGATTTTATGGTTAGAGTAATTATAAGAAATGAATGCATATTCAAAGTGAATAACAAAAAAATAAATAAATAAATCAAAATATAAAAAGCAATCTTGGTATTTGCTCTACGCAGTTTGATTATTATCAATTCATTTTTTGTAAAAACCCTTTATGAAATTGGAAATGAACGGATTTTTAATAATTAACTCATTGGCATAAAATAAATTTTTATTTTTCGTGGTATTTTTTTTTTTTATTTGGAACAAGATGAAGAGAAATAAATAATAATCGAAGAATTAATAAATAATTATTATTTATTTTCCTTTTCGGGAAAAGAATGTAACTTTTTTCCTATTTTGTAGATTTGTAATAAATGCTGTGGCGTTTTATCGGCTCGGGAATTAAAATAAATTAAATAAATTAAACTTGCAAAAATCGCGTGATTTAATAAAATACACTCTTTATTTGAAAATTAATAATAGTGCCTTATAATTCACTAAGTAAAATATAAATATATATAACGTTAAATAAAAATTTATAAATTAGATGAATCCAAATCATCATCATCAGCATCACCTAATTAAAAAAATAAAAATAAATTAATTAAATATAAAATAAATAATTATGAAATGAAAATGAATATAAAATAAAATATAATTAAACTTACTAGCATTTATTTGATAAAAAGATTCTGTTAATTCTTCAAGTTTTTTTTCAAAATTTTCTTTATTTTTAGGTTTTGGAAGATTTGAAAAATTGAGAAGTCTACTGGTATAAATTGCTTGCGGATGTGTTTTATAATTTAATGGAGTAGTAGTTGTTTTATCAGTTGTTATTTGATTTTTGAACAATTCTTTAGCTTCATTAATTTGAATTGTAATTTCATTCTTATTAGTTTTATTATTTTTACGATAATCTTTATAGTGCTTATTTAACTCTTTCCTTAATTCTTCAAAAGTGGGTCGATGTGTAGTTCGAGTATCCCAACATCGCATAATTATTCGTGTAATTAATTTAGGAGTGTAAAATGGAATTTTTGGTCGAAATCCATTACATATTTTAAAAGCCAAATCTTTATCATGCGACACATCGTGATATGGAGGAAGTCCAGTAATTAATTCGTAAGCAACAAATGCAAATGAATAAACATCAGCAGCCTTTGTATATTCTTCTCCACTTAATACTTCAGGAGCTATATATGGTAATACTCCGGAAATGGTATTCTTTTGGGAATTTTTTATGTTTTTCGTAATTAATTTACTCAATCCAAAATCTGATATACGTAAAGCAGTAGTATTAAATACCAAACTATATTTTAAAATATTTCCAGGATGAAAATCACGATGAACTATATTTAATTTATGAATTTCTGAAAGTTTAGAAGTTATATCTTTTAAATGTTCTAATTTATTTCCCCAATCGATATTGTTAAAATTATTAATTAAATAATTTCTAAGACTTCCGCCTCTATAATATCCTAAAACCATTATATATCTTTGAGTTTCTGGATCTTTTGTAATTCCAAAAAAAGCAGTTGATGTCGTTCCATCATTTGTATTCAAGAGAATTGCCATCTAAATGATACATTTTTAAATTATAATTGATAAATATTATATATTTTCAATTAACTTTTCTCTTAAATTAAATTATTATTTACCTCATTTAAAAAATCTTCATTTATATCTACAATACCATCAAACTTTTTTAATACCACATCAAATTGTCCAAATCTTTCCCATTGTCGATTTTCAATATCCCAACCACAAATATTTCCATCAACCCATTTAGCATAATAAATCGTGGCATAACCACCTTTTGCTATTTGTTTAATCTCTTGAAATCTATCATAAGGTATCCATTCAATTTTTTTATAATAATCAGCATTTAGTTGAGTATCTTGGATAAATTTATTTATTGTATCATTTCCACTTGTCCATTTATCAAAATTATTTTTGAAACGTGTTGAGTTACACGGTTTGCACCACCGTTTACATTGATTGTATTCTTTATCTTGATTACACTCTGGGCATACTTTAGACATTTTCTGTTCTTTTATAGTACGTAAGGCAGAAATTTACTCTCCAATTAAAAAAAAAAATAATAATAATAAATAAATAATAGATAATTTTCTCAGTACGTACTTATGCATATGCATGATATTCTTTAATTATATTATCAATCGGAGTAGTATGACCGAAATTTACCTCTTTAGGAATTTCTTGTTGAACAGGGTTACCTTATAAATCACACTAAATCAAGTTAATTTCTTGTATAAAAAAAAAAATTTTTTTTATTGCATACTTTATTACGATAATTATAATAATATTTTCTGTAATAACCTAGCGAAAAAATATTTTCAATATTAATTACGAATGCCAAATAAAAACGAGAGACTTACTCAAATGGCAACCACTCCTTCATCTCAAATGGCAACCACTCCTTCATCTTCTTCAACTCCATCTTCACCTTCTTCACCTTCTTTAACAACTCTTATTGATTTTAATTTGTATGATGATGATAGTAATTTCGATTCAAAGCAAGTAATGTTCCCCTTGTTTGAGACAGAGACTTCTGAAATTCCTTTGGACGAAAACATTCATGAAATCCAACCAGCAACAATCGACAATAATATTGAAAAGAAATTCGAAACTTCAATACCTATTACCGAACAAAATGTTATCCAACCTAATTTTAACGAAAACAAATCCCATTCCCTTATGAATAGTGACGATATTATCCCCAAATATCAATCCTTAAAATGGGAGCATTTGGGTAAATCCGACATTATCCAATCATCCAAAAAATCTTATTAAATTATTTTCCTTTTGCTGTGATTTTTTCTTCGAAACCAAATCCTTTCTGGTATTTTCAACCGCAAGGGATAGCCACCAAACCAATAATGGGTTGTATATTTGAACAAATATATATACATGCATATATAATATACTATACCACTGTATATTACATATACAACATTATATATTTGTTCAAATATACAACCTATTATTGGTTTGTAATTTCTATCCCTTGTGTTTGCAGTTCCCTTGAGGAATTAACTTGCAGAGAAAAACATAGCGATACGATATTTTAATAAAAATATGTAAGTTAAATAAATTCGTTAGTTTTTATAATCAAAAATTAGTTTAGTTCTTAAAGAATATTATATAGTTATTTATCGCTTTAACTCCAAATTTTATTTTATTTTTTTAAAATTTATTGTACTCTATATTCTCTTATATTATTATTCTCTTATATTATTATCCTCTTATATTATTATCCTCTTATATTATTATATAAATAAATTGACAAACTTTGAAAAAATAAAATAAGGTTTTTCTACTATGATATTTTCAAATGAATGAGTCTTTGAGATAAGTATTATGGGTGTCGTCATTATTATAAAAATAATAATTACTAATAGATACTTCGTTGCAAATTCAAATCTTCATGTAATATTTCGTTTATAAATTTTTTGTATATTATTTTTTAAATAATAGTACTCGCTTTCATTATTTTTTTTTCATTTAAATAAATTCATTGATCATTAAGTTTTTAGGAAATAATATTGTAGTTTGTTTCTTTCTATTCTTAACTTTATTGTACACAAATAGAAAATAGTAGAAAAAATAAATAAAATATTTATAGGTGCTAAAAGTATATGCTTTACTTTGTCTTTGCACCAGCATTGAAAAAACAAACTGATGAAAAACAATTTTTTATTTTTAAAAAAAAAGAATGAGAAAGAAAATGGCTGATGATCTGTTATACATTAGTGTCACCCATACCACTTTGGAGACAAATACTGTTTACAGATCCAGATCCATATTGAATCCAAAAAAATGAAATCCGATATATATTTGGATCAATTAAAAAAAGATTCAGATTGATAGAATAAATAAATATTATTTTATTAAAAATAATTACTTTTTTGTTTCCTATTTAAGTGTAACTTTAGAAAATACATGTAATTAAAACAATCTTCATTCGTTGCTACATATAAAATTTTTTATTCTGATAAGTAAGTATCAAAAGTGGTATTAAGTAACTATAAAGACAATAGGAAATTACATACTATGTAAAAAGGACAGACCTATATAATTAAAATTGAGAGAATCCTTCACAGGTCAAATGCAAAAGAATTGCTGTATCAAAAAGAAATTCTGATTTTAGCTGATTTACAATATAGGGCAGTCAATTTTACTGATATGCAACTCATTCTTGTATTTGTGATTACTTAGTACCATTTCTAATATGCACTTTTAAAATGAAAAGTTTTATATTAGTCAATGATGGGGTTTCAGAAATTAGTCTAGTACAATTGCAAATTTTAGTATAGTACGATAGGATTTTTAGTAGTACAATTGAAATTATCTTAGTATGTATATTTAAAAATAACCCCAAAATTATATCTACATATTTTTATAAATAATAATATACATAATAATAATAATAGCATCTACATATAATAATAATGTTAAATAAAATTTATTACACTAACTTTAATTTTAATTTTCAGAAAGTATTTTAAAATGTATATTTATTTTATTATTTATAAAAAATAAATTTTTATTATTTATAAATAATAATAATTTTTTATTATGTGCTATATTTATTTTTATTATTTATAACAAATAATAATATTTTTACATGCTATATTTATTTATATTAAACTTAATGCCTTTTTTTCTCTAAATTAGCCAATTCTAGAGCCTCAGCTTCAGCCAAAGCTCTTCTAGTTACTGCTTGAGCAAGAATTTGAAGTTCACATTCTTTAAGTGTCATTTTTTTCCTTTCTAATTCACAATCTATATTTTCATAATTTTTATCATGTTTATTTTTTTTGATATTTTTAATTAAATTTTTTTGTTTCATTTTTTCTTTTTAAATTTTTCATTGTAGTATTTGTTATATCTTCTAAAATATTACTATTTTTGTTATTTCATTTATCTAAATTTAATTAACACAATTGTTACTAATAATTTATATTAACATTTGATTATAAATAAATAAATATTTGTAAATACCTTTTAGTGTAATTGACTTGGAATTTTTTTTTAATTTCTGAATTATCAAATCTTGAATAAGGAACCCCGAATTTATTTTTCGCATCAATGATTTTTAGTGCTTTTTGATCAATTATGTGTCCTATAATAATATTATACATAAAAACAAATAATAATTATAAAAAAAAAATGTTTAAAGTAAAATATATTAACCTGATTATTGCTCTTAACAATTTAAGTTGTTTTCCTTCATGATTTGCTAAGGAATGTGCAGTCTCAGCTACATTTGTATTGTTTTCACTACTTGTCCATACTTCTGAATTTATTTTTGAAGCATTTAGATTTAATAATGTTTCCAATAGAGAACCTATAGATGGCTTGGGATCTAGCAAATCAAGTCCTTTTGTGTGAGTTCCAGAACTAATTATGTCATTTATTCTACTGTCATCCATCAATCAACACATAAGTTCTGGTTCAATCTGTTGATGACTATTAGGCAGTTAACCTAACACCATTATCATATTGTCAAGCTGAGATTTCAATCCTTCACCAGTTGGATAATTGAGAGGCTGAAAATTCCGGCATTTTTCCATTATTTCTTTGAGAAATTGAGGAATTTCACACTTAATTTCAAACTTACATCCTTACAAATGCTATTACAAGATTTTCATTATGTGGAATATTATAATATGGTGAATATCCAGTTAGCACTTCTATTATAATATACCAAAAGAATAAATAACAGATGCTTGATTGTATTCTCCTCTATTCAATGTCTCAGGTGCCATGTATTGAATTACACCATAAATATTTTCTAGATCATTTTCTGTAATTGGTTTGCACAATCCAGAATCTGTAATATAACTTAAAGTAAAAGTTTGATTAACTATATTACCAGAATGAAAATCTTTATGCATTAAGCCCACATTATGAATATTTTTAAGTCCATCTACAATTTTTGATAAAATATTGTACTTTTTCCTCCAAGTTAATTCTTTTAAACTGCCATTTAACAGTTTTCAAAGACTACCATGTTTTGCATAATCCATGACCATCATACATTCATTTTTTGTTGAATTTTTAAGGAAGCCATATATTGCAATTCCATTTTTACCTCGAAATTCAAGTTGATTTTCAATCTAAAATATTTACCAACATAAAATATAATTATTATTTATTTAAATGACGAAAATTAAATAAAAAACAGCAAAAATTATTTTTACTTGAGAAATTATCAAGACTTTTTAAGCAAACATCATGTTTATCAGTCCTATTCTAACATATTGTTCACCAAACTTGTAACATTTTTTTTTATACAGGAAATAATAGATCCATCAAGCCATTTTGCTTTGTATGTTGTTCCAAAACCCCTTTAGCAAGGAATATGACATTCTCAAATCTACAAATGGAATCCGCTCAATAATTTCTTGATGTCTATTTGCCTTTAGTTGTATTTGTATGATAAATTTATCAATTTCTTTATCTCCATTTGTCCATTTATCAAATTCATTTTGAAATAGTTTGACACTACATCCATTATTGATAATCAATCACATAATATTGAAATAAATTGAAACATTGATTTCAATAATTATGAATCTAAATACTCACTTTCTGTAATATAATTTGGTTGGTTTATAATTGATTAGAGAATTGTTACATGATATTGAATTAAATTGAAACATTGATTGAGATAATTATGAATCTAAATACTCACTTGTTGTAATATAATTTATATTGATTGGTTTATAATTGATTAGGGAATTGTTGAATTAAATTGAAATAAATTGTAACATTGATTAATAATTATGAATCTAAATGCTCACAAACTGTAATATAATTTATATTGATTAGTTTATAATCGATTAGAGAATTGTTATATTGACTGAGATAATTATGAATCTAAATACTCACTAACTATTTATAGTGATTAGTTTATAATTGATTAGAGAATTGTAACATGATAATTGAATTAAATTGAAACATTGATTTCAATATTATGAATCTAAATTCTCACAAGCTGTAATTAATTAGTTTATAATTGGTTAGGAATATAATTTATGTAAATTATTACTAGTAATAAATTATGGATTTAAATAAAATTACATATAACAATATGCCTACTCTTCCGATTCTTTCATTTCTTCTGTTTTTCTCGTTTCTACGTCCATTTCTTTTAAATAAAATCTAATATTATCAGCTTAAATAAATTCCGTTTAACATGCATTAATATGACAACAATAATAATTATGGATTGTTTCGAAATACAAAAAGCGCTATTACATAAAAGATTTCCTTTCTTAAAAAATTTACCAAATAAAAATATTGTGGCAGTCTGCCAAGAACAAGAAGAATACAATATTGGGTATTGTTATGAACATGGTGTTGGAACCATGAAAGATGAAGAGAAAGCATTTCAGTGGTACCTGAAATTAGCTGAAGGGGGAGACAACATGAGACAATTCAAACATGGATATTGTTATGAATGTAGAATTGAACCATGAAAGATGAAGAAAAAGTATTTCAGTGGTACTTGAAATTAGCTGAAGGAAGAGACAACATGGAACAACTCAATCTTGGAGGTTGTTATCTCAATGGGATTGGAACCATGAAAGATGAAGAGAAAGCATTTCAGTGGTATCTAAAATCAGCCGAAGCAGGCAAACAAAATGGGACAATTCAATCTTGGATGTTGTTATGAACGTGGGGTTGGAAGATGAAAGATGAAGAAAAAGCATTTCGGTGGTACTTGAAATCAGCTGAAGGAGGAAACAACATGGGACAACTCAATTTTGGAGGTTGTTATCTCAATGGAATTGGAACTATGAAACCATTTCAGTGGTACCTGAAATCAGTTGAAAGTGGCGATAGTAAAGGACAAAATAACCTCGGAAGTTGCTATTACTTTGGAATTGGACTACAAAAGATGAAAAGAAAGCATTCCAATGGTTTAGCAAAATTAGGACAAAGTTCAGTTGAATATTTCTATTGAAATGAAATTTCATTTGTTAAAAAAAATTAGAGGAAATTAGAATGTCAATTCATTAATTGTGAAAATTTAAATCAACTAAATAATGCATGTTCTGATTGTCAACTTATGGAAATTCCAAAATGGACCAGTGGTAATTATGATGTTGACAAGATCATTGAAATGACTTGATCAGATGAAAATACAAATGAATGGGAAATTTGGAGATGGATAGCATGTATTCCTTGATCTAAGTTCATCAATTACTAATCGCCATAGGACATCTGTAATGCGTAACATGAACTGCAGCTCATCGGGAATCCAATTGGATAATGGAATCATATCAAAATTTACTGGCCGAATATGTCCCTTAAGGGTTGAATAATCCTGTTTAATTTGATCCATAGATTTACTAATTTTCCATTCATGTGAAAATCTACCTTGTTGTTCTTTTGATATTTCACACCACGGGTAAAAATATTTACTATTTGCCAAATTAATTCCTAAATATATTGAAAGAAATTTCCAATCAGATGAAAATGAAGGATAATTTTCCATTCTCTACCTTGATTATCTTTTAAACCTTTATCTTAGTATTCTCAATTCTGAGGCTATTTGTTTATATAATCTTTTATATTTTTCAATAACTGAGAATAAAAGTATTGTATTATGATTATCTGGTTGAAATATATGTTCATTGTCATTAAGAAGAGAAAAGGTAATCATAACATGACTATTTTTTTTTTCCCACATTTCTACCATCACAATGAAATACATAAATGTATTTCAGAATTTTTGGTATCTAATATTTTTTTTTCAATAAAGTTTGGTATTAAATATTTTAAAATATCACAAATATTTCTATGTCCACCTTTGAATTTATTTCATCAGGTGGTATATTTATATCAACTAATATTATTCATTCATTTTATGTATAATTTCTTGTTTTTCTTTAACAACTTTCCATTCACGAGGTAAATCTTGAATAATAGAAGCTAATGCTCTATATCCATCACAAGTTATCTGATTTTTATCCAAGCTTGTATCCAAATTAATGTGATACGATTTGTTATTAATATTAAATTTGATTGATTTTAAAGATGGATTATCTGTTGTGTGACATTTCCGATTGTAACTTGGCTAAACGTTGAACTTATGGATTTTGAAAGTTGTTTGACCTGATTATTTTTGCCAGTTGAAGTTAAATTATCAAATGTTTTAAAACCGTTGCTCTTTGATGATTATCTCTTATTTGTTGAAGTATTTCTAATTGAAGTCCAAATAAATGCTGTCATGAGTAACGTGTTTCTTTTCTGAATTTATTGTCTTTAATAAAATAATTTTATTATTAATAAAAATTAAACGAAGAATTATGATATAAAAGATATAAAAGAACAATTTAAATACCTTTGCATATAAATTCGCGTCATCTGAACATGATTTATTTGATTTTATGCGAGACTCAAAATTATTTCCGTAGTACATCCAAAATTTTGGTTTCTTTGCTAAATAATTAATTGCATATATATGTAACTGCTTGTCTATTTTTAGATCTTCCCTAACTAGTCTTTACTTTATAATCATTTAGAATTCTATATCCATTTTCACCTTTTGTATATAACAAATAACTTGAAGATGGATAGAAACCTTCTTTGATAATATTGTATGTATAACTTCTTCCAAGTTCGGAATATTCAATAATAGATTTATTAGGATAATCATGATTCGAAATGAAAAGTGAATATATTTTATGCTTTATAACGTTAAACGTTATTTATTATTTATATAATTTAAATGACTTTTTTAAATTTAGGGATCCCTAAAAAAAATAGGGTACTTTCGCAATCAGCGGATATGTCCACAATTATTATTAAAAAATATCTAAAATCTATTTATTAAAAAAAATGGCAATGATTAAATTAGATTTTTTTAAAAAATTTACTAAATAAAAATTTTATACTTACAATCTTTGAATCTTTGCCTTTTATTAACGTGGCCATCAGTATCATCACAGTCACAGTCATAATAGACTAAAAATTACAATTAGTATCAATAAATATAATATTAAATATGTAATATAAATTAAAAATTACCATATTCCCTTTTTCGACAGTTATTATAGTAATAATTCTTGTATTTATTATTCTTTCCTAACAAAATTGCTGAAATGTAGCAGCCGTCAACAAAATAATAGTTTTTGTAGATCAAGGAGTTGGAGAAATAAATTCATCCTTGTTTTTCAGAGAATTCTCCAACTCCTCAGTGGTATTGTAACAATTGCATTTGATTTCCTTTGTTTTTGAAATCGATTATTATGGTAATCCTCAGGTACGTGGAAATCACCTGAGGTTGAATAACTTTTTTTTTTGCATGTATTTATTTTGTCTTTTTTTTTTGGAAATAATCATTGTCGTTTTTTATTGTTGGAAATAATGATTATTTCATTTTGTCGTTTATCAGAAATTCTAATTTTGACAACTTTGATGATTGTAATTGTGATGTTATGGTTGTTGCTTTATAGGTTGTTGGGTTCTTGTTGTTGTTATTGTTGGATATCCTACTGTTTTTGCTTCCAATTTTGTTGCTGTCGTTGTTCATATTGTGATTTGTTGTTGTTGTTGTTGACGTTGGTCTTGTTGGTGATTTTATTGTTGTAGTTTTTTGTCTGACTGCGAGTAAAAGATCCATTGTAAAGAATTTATGAAATTTAATAAAATTTTTTAATTTTGTGAGTATTTAATTTTGTATGAGAATTTTCACTTTTTTTTTCGCTTAGTATTTTAATTCTCCTAAACCTTTTTTTTTTGATCAGCAGCCAAAAATATTTCTAAAATAGTTTTCTAAGTATAGTATAGTAGTAATAATGATACTGTAATGACAATAATTAAATCAGTCTATTGTTTGTTAAGCTTAATATTCATAAGAAACTAATTGTTTAATTTTCACATGAGGAAAAAAAAAATATGACAAGAACTTCTGATGTAATGTTATTATTAAAGAAAAAAATAAAGAATTTCTAATGTAATATTAAAAAATATTATTAAGATCAGGGCCTATGCATCAAATGTCTATTTTTTTTTTAAATAATAATTAATATATTATACATATTAATTTAAAATATTGCTTTACCTCATTTAAGAACCCTCTAATACCTTCAAATTTTTGTTTAATACCACTTCTTGTTGGCCATCTCTCACCCATTGATGATTTGTATAATAAATAGTCTTTTGTTTTATTTCCTTAAATTCCAATCTGCATTTAATTAGGCATCTTAAATAAATTTATCTATTGTTTCAATTCCACTTGTCCATTTATCAAAACCACTTTTTGAAATGCGTCGAGTTGTTCGGATTACATCAATAATCATATCCTTGGTTTCAGACATAGAGACATATTATATTCACTTATAGCATGTAAGATAGAAGTTTCTTTAGTTTTTTTAAATAAAAAATCAAAATAACAACGCATATGATTATAATTTTTTATGCAAATTAATATGGAATTGAGTAACAGTATTAATTTAATGCAATGCAACCTCAGGCTTTGGAGAGTTACAGGAAAATCGTGAAACAATTCACGAAATTTTTATTTTAGATACTTCTGTAACATACTTTTAAAATATAAACACTTCCACATATATTGACTATTTTAAATTTAATTAATATAAAAATTTATTAGGTAAAATTCTAGCATATCTATAAAAAAAAAAACCAAAATTATTTATAATGTGGTACGGTTATTTTTTTTTAAAAACTTCTTTATTTCTAAAATTTTTATTTCTTAAAAAAGAAATGGCAACTAAGATTCCTACAGAAATACTAATTAAAATTTTAAATTATGTTAAATCATCTCGTTCAACTCAAGATTTATATTCCTCCTTATTAGTTAATCGAATCTGGTGTAAAGTTACTATACCTATACTTTGGGAATTACCTTTGGGTCTAGACCTTTGGATGGATTATAACAAGAGGAAGAAGAAAGCATTGTGTATTCGAACTTATATATCGTGCATGGATACTCAAGCTAGAAATTTACTTATTCAAAATGGATTTGATTTATCATCATCACCATCTCAAGCCACTTTTGATTACCCATCATTCGCTCATAAATTAATAATTAATAATGTTTCTGTATATTCACTACAAATTATTGCCCCGGATCACAATAATAATAATTATGACGAAATCACAAGATCAAGAATATTATTTCATGAGATATGCAAATTAATTATAAATCGTTGTACATTTTTGAATCATTTTGAATTGGTGAGAATCCCTTTTGAAAGTTATCATGATGATTTAATTAGTTCAATTTTCGATTTACCTGGTGCTCCAAAAGTATTTGAGAAATTAGAAAGTTTTACACTTAGAAGTTATCCAATACTGTTTAGATCATTATTCGAGTCATTAACATTAATTTGTGATCATATTTTAATTATGGATTTATATTTGGATTTAGAATCTCAAGTTATAATATTAGCAAAACTTATCAGTGTCCAAAAACAGTTAGAAAATCTATCAATTGAAGTTGGTAAGTATCTAGATTTAGATTGTAATTCATTATTTTGGGCTATAATCAGTCAAAAAGAAACATTAAAGAGTCTTCGTTTAATATTAGTAAATTTCAATCGTGTTGAGGAGAAGAATTTATTACCAATTGGTCAATTTATTTCACTTCAAGAGCTTTCTATTATAGATTGTTCTGGGTTTCATAAATCGAATTGTTTATTCTTGGCTTCATCACTTACTCAATTAAGCCGCTTTAAATTTTTACATTCGTTATCAGAAGCTCAGGAGTATCCTCAAGAATTTATTATAAAAATTCTCGAAACGGCTAATACAAATTTAAAAAATATTTGTCTAATTTTACATTCCGTAATTATATTTGATGCATTTTCAGCAATTTTAAATTATTGTACAAAGATTAACGAATTATCTTTACAAAATTTAATCCCTGAACAAGTAATAGAAATATTTAATAACAATTTTAACGACTTAAGAAGATTTTCATTTAATTGTGGAAAAATATTTGATGCTGATGAATTATTATGTCAAATGGCCGAGAATGTACCGAAATCACTTGAAACTATTGTATTTATGATGATGTATAAAGATCCATGGATATTTAGTGCCAATAGTTTAAGAAAATTTTTTGAAGGGTGGTGTTGTAAAGGAGGAGGAGGAAATAATAAGTTAATTGTAACGTGTCTAGAGCCGCAACTATTTACATTAAGTGATGAACATTTTAAAGTTATTGAAGAATATGGAGTTCAATTTGATGTGGAAGAAAATGCATATATTTAGTTTGCTGCGTTTTTCAATGAATTATTTATTTTTTTTCTTAAATCGAATATAAAAATATACTCTGTAACTAAAAATCAACGGTATATAGAAATTTATGGAATTTTAGAGATAGTTTTATACGATTTTATTATTATATGATTTTATTATTTTATAGCTTAAATTTATTAATAAAATTAAAATCAACATCAACGTTAAATTCTTTTCAAATTTAATTAATCAATTTAAAGTTAATTTAAAAAAAAAATAATAATTTTGTAACTTTTTAAAATAAATATGGTGTATTCGATATCAACATAATTTATTTATACTAATACAAATTATTATCTGCATTAATAATAATTAATTTAATTGCGAAACAAATTCAAAAAAAAAAAAAGAAGAAATATAAATAAATAAAAAATAGATAAACAAAAAATAAACAAAAAGTAAATAAATAAATAAAATAATTCATATTATACTTAATTAGAATTTACTCATCATTCATCTTTCTCATTATCTAATGATTAGAATGTATTAAAAATATATTTGAAATAATTAATAGTTATTAATATTAAAGACGAATTACGAATTACTTATTTACAGAGAATTAGGATATGTTGTTTTTTCTCTTATAATTTCAATTTATTTTTAAAGATTAATTAAGATTATAATAAATTTAATTTAATTAATTAATAATTTAATTAATTATTTAGTTTGTACTTTAAAAAAATGCCTGAACTATGAACATTTATTGATGAATAAACTTAAATTTATATAAATAATTTAATCGTTACCCGATTTCTAATTGACATTTAAAGATCTCAGCTATAATAATATATTCTTACCTAAAATTTATTTAATTAAATTAATTAGTTTGATAATTGATCTAAGTTCATTAAGTTGTAATCTTAGTGGGTTAAAATTTCATTAATTAATAAAAATTTAATGATAGTTTTTTTTTTTTTTGCGTCGTCATACAATTAATACGATGTTTATATGCTTTCTTTTGAAGAAAGTCTAATCATTTTCATATTAACTCATTTCTATTATTTAATAATTAGAAAAATAAATATATAATATATGCCACTTTATTCTTGATTTTCTCTCAACATTAAATAATTATTTGTGTAGGTTTGGAATTTTGGTTAAAGCTTAACGAAAGTTCCCTCAGGATTATGAAACTCTAACTTATTATCAAATTGTAAAAAAAAATCAGCAACTCTTCATTATCTAAAACTTCAGGAACTAAATATGGTAATACTCCAAAAAATTTTCTCTTTTGAGTATTTTTTTTTTTGTTTTCCGTGATTAATTTACTTAACCCATAAAATAGTCATAACGATAAAATTAAATTCTTGAGTAATCTAATTTCTATACTAACTAATATTGTTAAGATTTTTATTTAAATAATTTTAAGATTTCCGTCTTTTAGATATTCCAATACTATCATACATTTGTGAGTTTCTGTATCATTTGTAAAGCCATAAAATCCAGTTGTAATAGCGTAACCTCCAGTTCCCAAGTGAATTGTCATCTAAACAATCCGTTTTCTAGTATATTATATATATCAATTAAAACATTGCTTTACCAAATTTAATAAATCCTCTAATACTAATTCTTGTCGACGATCTCTTTCCCATCGATGATTTCTAAAATCATGACCCCACTTATCATAATAAATAGTTTTTGTTTAATTTCTTGAGATTGAAACGCGTTGAGTTGCACGGAATTACACCAACAATCATATCCTTGATTGCCGCATTCGATCAGGCAGTTTTTTGTTCACTTGTAGTATGTTAGGAAGAATTTCTTTTTTTTTAAAAAAAAAAAAAATCAATAAATAGATTTATAACACTTCGACTTTCATACCACATCGCGTATGATTACAATTTATTATGCAAACTAATATGGAATTGAGTAACAGTATAAATTTAATGTAATGTAACCTCGGGCTCCAGAGAACAATTCACGAAATTAGTATTTTAGATACTTCTGTTCTGTTACATACTTTATATTATATAAGCACTTCCACCGCATAGCATATATTGCCTATTTTAATTTAATTAATGTAAAATTGATTCTACATTGCGCAATATAAATTTATGCCGATAAGCTAATTTATTTATTACATACGTTTTACAAAAAAAAAAAAGCCAATAATGTGGTTCGATTATTTTTTAAAAACATCTTTTATTTTTAAAATTTTTATTTCTTAGAAAAGAAATGGCAACTAGAATTTCAACAGAAATATTAATTATGAATTAAAACATCTCGTTCAACTCAAGATTTATATTCACCATTATTAGTTAATCGATTCTGGTTTAAAGTCACTATACCTATACTTTGGGAATTAACTTTGATTCATCAATATTGGATGGGTAAAGAGGTGCTGGAAAGAAAGCATTATGTATTCGAACTTATATATCATGCATGAATACTCAAACTAGAACTTTTCTTGTTCAAAATGGGTTTGATTTATCATCATCACCATCTCAAGCCACTTTTGAGAACCCATAATTCACTCATAAATTTATAATTAGTAATTGTAATGATTTTATATCCAAATATTTATCTAAAATTAATCCACAACAGATTGGTGGTTCAAATCAAAATAATATTAAGAATAATAATAACAAATCAAGGATATCATTTCGTGAGATGCGTAAATTAATAATAAATCGTTGTACATTTTTGGATTATTTTGAATTGACAAGAACCTCTTGGGAAAATTATTATGATGATTTGATTGGTTTTATTCTCTACTTACCCGGCGCTCCAAAAGTATTTGAAAAATTAGAAGGTTTTAAACTTAGAAATTATGAAACAGTGTTTAGATCATTATTCGAGTCATTAGGATTAATTTGTGATAATATTTTAAAATAAGGATTTGTCTTTGAATTCATATTCTCGAGTACTACCAAAATTTATCAGTGCCCAAAAACTGTTAGAAAACCTAACAATTATTGGTAATTGTCATAATCATCAAGATTACAATTCATTATTTTGGGCCATAATCGGTCAAAAGAAACATTAAAGAGTCTTCGTTTATTTTCAGTTTACTTTGTTCGGTTTAAGGGGCATTCATCAATAATTGATCAATTTACTTAACTTCAAAACTTCACATTGTGATGGATTAAATAATCCAGATTGTTTATCCTTGGCTTCATCATTTACTCAATTAAGTAGTTTTCATTTTTATACGAGTTATTAATCTAGAGAATTTATTATAAAAGTTCTCGAAACAGCCAATACAAATTTAAAAAGTATTTATCTAGATTTATTTAACGTAATTACATTTGATACAATTTCAACAATTTTAAATTATTGTACAAAGATTACCTATTTGACTTTACTAAAATTAAGTCCTGAACAAGTAATAGAAATATTTAATAATAATTTTAATGAATAGAGAAGATTTCCATTTGATTGTGGAGAAGAAATATTTAATGTCAATGAATTATTTTGTAAAATGGGCGAGAATGTACCGGAATCACTTGAAACTAGAATTTATAATGGATTATGAAGATCCATGGATATTTAGGGCTAGTAGTTTAAGAAAACTTTTTGAAGGGTAGGAGGAGGAGGAAATAAAAAGGCTATTGAAATATGTCCAGAAGAGCGACCATTTACATTAAGTGATGAACATTTTAAAGTTATCGAAGAATATGGAGTTCAATTTGATGTGGAAGTAAAATCATATTTTAGTTTGCTGTGATTTGTATTGTCACCACTGTCCAGAGTTTTTCGAACAATTTTTTAAATTAGTCTCAAAGTTTGCATCACACAAACATAATAATATGCTCTATCTGCCAGTAGGTCACAGCTAATACAATCAATTTAACTGGCCTATCTCAAAACAGATAATAAATATATAATA